CACCCATTGATATGTGTGTTGTTGTATTAATGGCTTATTTGTTTGTTATTTATCAATTGTAAATGAAAATAGTCGTTAAAGATTGAGTAGTCATCAAGTAATCATCCAACAATAGTGATATAATGATCATCATCATTACTGGTTATTACACTTATCATAATTATTCATCATTATTAACACTTTCTTAGATCCATCATCATCAATTGCCATCATCATATTATTAGATTCATCACAAAATGGTGAAACACTTTTGTTTCTGTTTGTGATCATCATGACGATTATTACTATCATTACTACTAATACTATCATTGTTATCCTCATCACTCCTTGCAACATGTAATCATGAGCAACTCCATGATGACAAGTGAGATAATCAACCAAAGTTGAAACAATTTACCAAAAGTTGAAGGGTCAACTAATTAATGATAAAAATGGGAAAATATTGTTTCAGTTTTCAATGAGAGATTCATTGATCAGGTAATTTGAATCTTTAAATTGCCAATATTAATGTTGCTATTTTTAAACATTATTGATCATTATATTTGATCGCTGAATTGATCAATGTAAGTATTGGCTTTGTTTAGGTGGCAAATGATTATTGTGATGAACATGATGGAAATAATTCTCAATTCAAACATCACCTTAATCGTTTAGAGTGTCTGCGTAAAAGTATGATAATTTTATGGAAATATAACAATTTTTTACTCAAATGAGTTGTAAAAAAGTAAACATTCAGTTTAAATGTTTACTTTTGTAAAAATGATGAATTGAGCAAAAGGAATCAACAATTAACTAGACAATTGGTGAATCAAATCAACAATTGATGGTAAATTGATGGAAACAAAAAGACTGAATAAAAGTGAATGAGAAAGCAGTAAATTGCCATTGAGAAAGGAATGGAAAATTCAACAATGTAATCAAAATTTCAATGGCAATGAATCTGTTTTTTTAATAACTTGATTAACTTGATTAGTTGAATGGGAAAGAAAAGGGTTTTAACTCAATTTTGGATGAAATTTAGTTGAAACATAATTTCATGTCTACAATTAATTGGACTAAATTAACATCATGTATCCATCAATGTAATACACAATAGTTTCGTGTAAGACTGAGTAGAGTTGAAATTTACAATTTAATATTGAATCAGCAAAAAAACGATTTCAATATTTTCAGTGATTTTCAATGTTCAAGTTGGGGTTCAGTTTGCAAAAAAAAGTATCATGGTAATGATCATGTTAATGGTTGATGATTCTGCTTGATTGACAATTTGAACTCAATTAATATTTGGCCTGACACTAATAAAAGAGCGAAAAGAAGAAGAGAAAAAAAACAAAAGGTTTTCACTTTCATGGAATCAACCCAAATTGGCAAATGACTGTTGAAACTGAATCTTGAAAAGCTGATTAATGTCCTTGGCGCATGAAATTGAATCATTCTATGGAAAGTGATACTAGCAATGAATTTTCTGTTTTTTTTCTGTTCACTTGTTTCGGTTGTTCTTGTTTTTTACACTTTATTTTGCAGTCTCTCAGGTCTTTATTTGTAGCTTTGTGTTGATTTGGTTGTAATCAAAGTTTACATTGGGAAAACTTAGTTGTGCTCATTTCACCGTTTCATATATTTTTGTTGATTCAAAAGTATCTCTGATTATCAAGTTAATTTAATCAACCTTGGCATAGTTTAAAGTAATTGGGGCTCAAATTTATCATTATCAAATAAAACTGTAGACTCTACTCCATTTAGATTAAAGTTTAGTTTCATCATGAAAATGATAAAACATTGAACATACCACGTCGAGTTTGATATTTAACATTAATGAGGTAAAGGGAGAGAGAGATATGAAAGGCATGAAAAGGTTTGGATTACAAAGAGTCATCAAATGTTTTTTAATATCATCATGATGCTGATCATCATAATCATCGTTTCCATAATTTTTGATCCAAAGTATGGAGACGAAAAATATGAAGCGAAATGAATTATGGGAACAAAATGATGGTTAAAAAACAAAAATATAACTAAAAATAATTTTGAAAAGGCATAATGAGATAGTGATAATAAATGACAGTTGAACATTAACACAGAGAGAAGTAGGTTTCATATGGAAATAATATATTTATATTACATAATATAATAAATAAACATAAAGTTAGTCTCATGGACTGTATGTTATCTGTCACTCCAAAGGGAAAATTATACTTGATATGAGAAATATAAAAGAGGAATGAACAAAACAGATCTTAAGGGATATTCACAGGGATTTTTTTTTCTTCACCCAACCAGTTTTGGTCAAAGAACAGATACATTTTGTCAAGTTATTACATTGATTATCAAGAGATTTTCACTTGAATATCTTTACCATTTGAGTGCAAAAAGTGAGTAGGAAAAACGATAAAAAAAAGGCTCGAATATAGATTAGCAAATAATAAGGACAAGATAAAATAATAAAATTACGAGTAAATGCTTTCAGGTGATGCAGTTGAAAAGATAGAGGAATTATGGTGAAAATTATGAGTTTATACGTGAAAAGTTGCTTATTATCTTACATAATCTCTCATTCATTCATTTCCAATGTTATCACATTATCTATGGGAAACTGTATTTCCCTGTTAATCCAATTTACTGAGCAAAAATCGGTTACTTCAGAAGGTCAAAGCTTAATATCTTGTTCATGTTGCATGGTAAAACTAAATATACAATAATTTTATTTTTGCTCAGTAATAAGGAGCAAAAGGTAAAGTTACACTACAAAATGATAACAATAGCAACAGTAATGATAATATCAATAATAGGTAGGTTAATGCTAATCAAAAATCAGAAGTCAATTTTGTGTGTGTTTGTCAAGGAAAGAGTTACCTTCGTTCATCATCAATATCATGTTTATCAATAAACGGTTGACAAGGTTAAGCAGTAAAAGTATTAACAGGTCTGAATGAGATGAAAAGAGACGAAATGAATGGGAAAACATGTTCCCATGTACATGATGGCAAAAATTTCATTTCCTTTTATCAATTGACAATTCTTTCAACCTTTTCTCTCAACATTTGTTATACAACATTTAGATATCATTTTTGAGCTACCAAAATATTGTCAATTTCAAACATGATACAAACAAACAGAACGCAAGAAAAAAATATATTCAAGAGACAAGGTAAGATAACAGAGCAAAATGGTTGACAAAAGGAGTTGCATTAGGAAGAAGAAGAGGAAAAAATAGTTTAATATTAAATAATAATGGTAATAAGAAGAGTCTGAAGAGGAGAAGCAAAAATTCAAGTTGAAGATGAAAAAGATAACTTTATGAATGTTCACCTTCAACAAAACAATGTGAAACCATTTGAAAAGGGTAAACTGATGCAAAAAAAATATAATCAGCAAGACACAAGAAGCTTAAATTGTTCAACATATGTGACAATTTGAAACGGTAAAAATATATTAATAAAGAAAAATTATTTTATGCTAAATTGGATACTCTTTGGTTGACATTTAAACTACAATACAAAGATGAAATATCATTTGATAATATATATAATATTTCAAGTGCTCTGAACCCATTATAACATGAAATTTTATTATTGTTAATATTATCATCATTATTATTCACATGCATAATTTTTATAATGATAAGGAAAGCAAAATGAAAAGGATAACTTTCAACCTATTAATTCATGTGTACCTTTTTTTTTGTTTCACATTTGTCTTCATCTTTTTTTGGACCTTTTTGCTCGACACTTTTTGCATTATAATGAACATTTTTTTGTATCGTTATTATGGCTTTTGCCATTATAATCTTTATCAGTTCATGGTTCAAAGGATTCAGTAGGAAAAGATTAAAAAGAATGCAGAAAAAATGGACAAGTTTCAGTGTTGAAACTTTTCGTTTTTTCTTTGCTTCATCGTTAATTGAGAAACCAGAAATTGGGTTTTCACTTGTAATGTCAATTCTGGACAATATCTAACATCTAACCTTAACCTTGTGAAATTTTATACTTGAGTGTGTTTATAATGGAACTGAGTTTATGAAACTCGCCTGAAACTTCTACTGTTACTCTTGTTGCTGCTTTCAACTTGAATGATTTTGAAACGAAAATTAATCATCATATTTTTCATTGAAAAAAAGGGTTCATTTTGAAATTTGTTTTTTCTCTACTCAATAATGTTGCATACAACACACATTTATACAGACAGACTTATCGTAAAGATAATCAATTTTGCTATCAAACTGTTCGATGAAAACATAATGTACTTTTTTTCACACTTATTGAGCCATGGAAAATAATTTAATGGAATAAATTCACCTAAAAATAGACTAATATTTTTGCTTTTTGCTTTGATATTAATATGTACTTTATAATGGGTTTCGTTTTGTTTCGTTTTTTATTCACTTCTTTACCCTTCAACGTATTACTTTACATGGTAAAGAAGTAACGAGTAATTGTAACTTATGTACCTACAATTTAGTAAAACATAATCATAGATAATTTGTTGTTTAGAGTTAATACTTGAATCGCATCTTGATTATGTTTCAACATGTTATAACATGAATAAATATTGGATTAACCTCATTACAAGTTAATCAAGTTAAGCTTCCCTTTGGTAAGGAGTTTTTGTATATATACGGTAAATTGTAAAGTCATTTGAAATAGACAAAGAAAGAGTATTATTAATTTGGGAATAATTTTTCACTGATTTTTATTGATTTTGCCTTTTGGTGGAACAAGTGATTTTTAATTGTTTCATATGAAAAGGGAAATAATCTTTCATAATATATAACTGACTGTGAAAGAAAAACATTTTCCTTGAAAAGACTGTGAAGATGGTAAAATCAATATTGTCTAATGTGGTAACAAAAGCATTTTTTTCTACTCCTGTCTACTTAAATAAGTATTTTTAGTCTACTTTTTTATTATCACTCAAGAGATACACATTTTAACATACTTTTCTTTGCCTTTTGATATTTTTTTTGAGGGAAAAAAAGGTAATGCCAGAAAAGCGCAACTTACCTGATAATATAATAAGTTATCCGTAATCGTGAAGGAGGAGGAAGAGGAGGAGGGTGTTAAAAGTGGAATTGTATGCAAAGATGCCATTGCAATTGAAAGAATGCACACAATTGTTAATCTTAACGGGTATATTACATAAATTGAAAAGGTGTAAAGTAAAAGAAATGCTAGACTATCACTTGGTTGCCTAGGTTGTGAGAAAAGGGTAACATCACAGATGATATGGGCTATGAAAATAAGCCACACTATAAAGGGTACAATTGTCCACATACGTTGTTGTCCCCCTTTCCGGAGTAATCGTTTAGATAATGAATGGGATGAGGTTGATGTGGATGAGGATGTTGATGATGATGGAGAAGATGAGGTGACATGATGAGGATCAGTTGAATAATTGATAGGTTTACTTTGGATTCCCCATTTACATGTCCACAAATAGATGAGGCAAGTGAGAACAAGTGTTGACAAGAGGACAATTAATTGGGGTAGCTTGCTTGGCGTGTAATGTATTGAATAAAGAGATAGAAGGAGAAGATTAACAATTAGCGTAATTGATAGTAAGGTGGTAAAATCGGTCCTTTTCTCATTGGCATAATATTCCCGGTATAATCCTTCAGCACCTTTATCAGCAAATGCAAATTGAACACAATGGGGAAGGTAACGTTGAAGTCCACTTTGATCAATTGACAGGTCAGCTTCACGCTGGAGAAGTAAAGATGATGTATCTCGACCATTGGTGGTTTCACGTTTAATCGTTGACTTGCACTCCGATTTACCATATTCAGGTCGACCATTAGTTGCCAATAGCCCAGTCTGTGGGCTGGTCATTCGAAGCTCCATCATCCACTTTAACTTCTCCTCTCCATTAGAAGAGAATTTCTTTTTCATTTTCATTCAATTTGAATCTGTTTTAGATCTCAATACAAGGGACTCAATCCAAATCACTGGATCCCTTCCAATGGACTCATTATTCTTACCTTGTGCTGCTATCTATACATTTTTTCCAATATCCTTACCTTTAGTTGCTTGCTACTGTTTCCAGATGGCAGTAGCAATTTTATCCTTTTCGGTTTTCAATTGTTTACAATTTATTTTATTAATTTCACACTCAATTAGTTTTAATTTTTGGTTAAAACAGTGTTTTTTGTAGCCTTTGGTTATTGGTGATCATGGTTCGATTAATAGCTGGCATGTGCCGATCTAACAGTAAGTGTGTTTTGAGGCAATTTCATTTCAATTTTTGTCATTCCTTGTTAATGTTAATTGTTATGATTATGGTTGTTTCTTTCTGCAACTTTCATAGTTCTCACCAATCTTCATGGATTCAATAATTTATTTTCACCCAGGTTCATGTCAGATCTTCCAGCTCCCGTCAAAATTGGTGCCTTTAAATATGAACCACGTTTTCTTGATGTTAATAAAGATCCGGTTTTAATTTACCATGGACTCTTTGGTAGTCGGAATAACTGGAAAAGTCTGTCAAAAGCTATTGCAGAAAAAACTAATCGGGTTGTTCTTCCTCTCGATGTTCGTAATCATGGTACAAGTGGTCACTCATTAGAAATGAGTTACCCTGCTATGGTGTCTGACGCATTGGAAGTAATGACAAATAAGAAAATAAATAGAGCAACGCTTATTGGCCATAGCTTAGGAGGTAGAGCCTTTATTCAATTCGCTTTGACAGTTCCTGAAAAGGTTGAAAAATTAGTTATCGTTGATGTTGGAATGAAAAGACCTCAAGTACCAGCATCACATCATATCGAATATATTCAAGCAATGAGAGAAGCTTTGAAGGATATTCCACCAAATTCTAGTCGTTCTGAAGCTAAGAAAATTGTCGATCATAGACTTAAAAGTGCTGTTATAGTAAGTATGCTCAAAGATTATTGTTAAAAATTAATATCCATTACTTTGTTATCTCTTTTACTCTTAGGATCCTTTCATTAGAGGTTTTCTCCTTTTAAATCTTGTGGAAACTGAATCTGGTCAAATTGCTTGGCAATTAAATTTGGATGCATTAGAAAAATCGTTAAACGAAGGTGTAATTGACACAATGTCAGTTGAAGGAATGTACAATGGACCAACATTATTGATTTATGGAAGTAAATCAGAGTATGTGGATGAAGATCAAATTAACAAATTAGCTGAACATTTTCCAAATTTGCAAACACAATGTATCAAAGATGGAACTCATTATCTCCATGTTGAAAAAGCTTCTGAATTTTTGAAATACGCTACGGAATTTATCAATCTTTAGTTTTAAAGAAATTTTCATCTCTCTCGCTTTACCTGTGTAAATTATTCAAGAAATATTGTCAAAAGTAATAAAATGTTATATTATTAATAATTTATTATCCACTTTATGTTGCAGAGGGCGCTTTGACTGCAGCTGAATTTAAATGCTACTGTGAAGGTAGTTTTAGTTTGACAAAGTCATGGATTGTTAGTTGTTTAATTCAGTTTGCTCTTTAATTTTATCATAATAATCGACAACTAAGATTCGAAATTAAACATGGTTGTCACCGATCCTACTAACTACTTGCAATTAAACAAATGGATGAGTTGTCTACCCAATAAATTGCAGCATACTCCACTTAATTTAATTTCAATCCCAGGTAAGTCAATTTTTACTAGAACAATATTTTTCTTCGTTCATGTTACCTTTCCCTGCCAACAATCTCTATTAATTTATTTTCCCCTTTTCGTGATAACCAATATTTCCTCTCTTTCAATATAAACTCTTAACCATTGTTCCAACAATGAATTTGAGCCATTCATAGGTATACTTAACTAATTATTGGCTTTCTTTCAATTTGAATCTCACCAGTGAGATCAAATTTACTTTAATATATTTTATCCCAATATACATAAAGTGTACTACAAAAACATGATAGCAACAATAAACTAGAACAAATCCTTGCTTTAGATCTTTTCCCTTTTTCTTTTCCCTTTGTTTGTCCTTTTCTTTTATTTTCTGCAAATAATCATTACCTTTTCATTGATTTTTCATTATTTTCCCATAAATTGCCACTAATTTAGCATTGATGTATTTTCTGTTGATCTATTTGTTTAATTTATCAGTACTCCATACCAGCTGACTAGCTGGACCTCAGTATTCGCCTCTATTTTAAGATGGACACACTTGCCACATTTAATTTGTGATTTAAAGGGTGTTAAGGTTTATTTCTTGCAAAAACAGGGGGAGAGAAACGATATTATCTGAAGATAAAGATGAAATCACAAAAGTAAAAGGTTAATCAAAATACCAAAGCAAATGCAAGTGACCAATTCATATTTATCGTCATGTTATCACCATTTTTATCTTTATCTTCAGATAAGATCGCTTTTACCTTTTCCTACTTTGCAAGAAATAAACCTTAACACCAAAGAGTAAAGAAGAAGAGACTGCGATTTTATCATGGAGGACGCCGACTCACGCCGGGACAGCTAAGGGCGGGCCGTCTACCCAAGTCACTAGGGGTCACTGCCCCAAACAAGGGTACTGGGGGGGATGTCAGGAATTGTCCAGGGGGCTGAATCCCTGGGTAAGCTCTTCTTTACTCTGTTCGCTCCAATCGCCGAGACTCAGACGAGATTCGATCGCTAACCCCAGCAGTCTTGTTGTTGGCTAGCAGTCTCGTAAGGGTTAAACCTCTCGGCTACCCATGCGATTGATGATATCCAGATTTGTTGCTGGATAATTGCACAAGTGGTGCTAGTAGTCAGAGATCCTTTCTTTTCTCTCTCTTTTTAATCAAAATTAACAAATTTAATCAGCTCACGCCGGGACAGCTAAGGGC